CGGGGGGCCCCAGGCTTGTTCTATAGGGCAATGGCAGGAGCAGCGGAAGGTACAGCCCGATGTCTCCTGCTAGCACCTGCAGCCGCGGGGTGTCGTGGTGGTGCTGAGTAAGCCCCCCCTGGCCGCCTCTGGCAGCTTCCTTTAACCTCCAGCAGTGTAGCATCGCCAGGCCCTGTGCTCTGCTCCCCCTTAAAGGTCACTGTGGTCAGCTCAGCTCAGCTGCTCCCTACAGGTGCCCTAGGCTGGACAGCCCCACTCAGTCCTGGGAATTTAGACAGGCGGCCCCCGAGGCCCTGGGTGAGGACCCAGAACGCGCCCACGGGCAGTGGCAGGAGGGGCACACCAGGACGGGAGGACGGTGCCTGCAGCTACACCTTGCTGTGAGTGCCAGGTAGGCCCAGGGATCGGGGCTGCCCAGACAGGAGCCCCGCTGCAGCGATGGGCCACGGGGTGTGGGTGGGGAGCCTGGTGGGCCCCAGCTGGCCTTCTCACCTGCATGGCACTACTGCCCCACAGGGACTCCCACCAGAGCTCTGCTGGGGCTGCTGTGTTCTCTTTGTGGTTTGTTTCTTTTGGAGAGGTTTTTTGCTATAGGGTGTGTGCGCTTGCCAGAAAGAGACAGAGAGACAGAAAGCAAGAAATCACCCCCCAGGGGGGATGGCCACACCACAACCCCTTCTCCATTCTCCTTTTGGGATCTTGGGCATGCACGCACATGCGCCCAGCGTGAGTTCTAAGCCACCAGGTCCGGGACGCAAACCACGGTCGACTACATGGGAGTCCAGCGACATAGCCATTATGCTAACTGCTGGTCCCTCCACTCGTTATTTTTAAGAGAGGTTTTTGCTATAGAGCACATGCACTTGCCAGAGAGACAGAGAGAAAGGAAGTGAAAAATCACCCCCAGGGGGATGGCCACACCACAGCCCCTTCTCCACTCTCCTCATGGGATCTTGGGGGTGCACGCACACGTGTCTGGCTTGAGTTTAAGCCACTAGGTCCGGGTCTCTAACCGCAGTCAACTACATGGGAGTTGAGCGACATAGCCATTACGCCAACTGCTGGTCCCTCTCCCGGTGTGTTTTAAGCCACTGGGTCCAGGACTTGAACCGGTTGACTGGCGTTTCCCCCATTCCCTTCTTGGGATTTGGGGGCATGCATGCACACACGCCTGGCATGGCATCCAGTCACACCGCTGGTCACATGAGAACCCAGCACCTTGGCTACAGTGCCATCTGCTGGCCCTATTTTTTTCCCCAATAATGGTGCGTGTGCTTACCGGAGACGGAAGGTGAGAAGGCGCTGTCCAGGGCAACGGCCACGCCACAGCCCCTTCTCCACCCTCGAGGTTTGCTGGGCACAGACACGGACACACCCGACGTGCTTTCCAAGCCACCAAGGCCGGGACTTGAACTGTATAGCTGGCCCTGTGTGACCCAGCACCTTCACGGCTCCGTCGGCTCTCCAGGTTCCTTTCTAAAATGAGGATTACACCTTGGGCCGAGGGAAGGCCCTGCTGAAGTGGGAGCAGGAAGGTCAGGGGAGCTGGGGTGCGTGAGCAGCCATTCCGGCAGAGGGTGTGCTCAGGGTGGCTGGGCAGGAGTGCAGACACTTGGGGCCCTCTAGATGCTTCTGCCTCAGGTCCTGGGCTGGGAGGCAGGAGGAGGTCTGGAGGCAGGGGAGAGGGTAGAGGAAGGGGCTTGGCCATAGAAGGAGCAGCCCAGGAGAGGACCCAGCTGCCTGGTGCGGTCACTGGGTGGCACTAAGGATCCAGGTTATGCCCTTAGGGTCCATCTGGCAGCCATAATGGACATTCTAGTCCCTGTCCAGTGACTCCCAAGCCCTTGAGCCAGGAATTGGGGCCCCCTGGCACCCAGGATGCCATGGAGCCGGTGCTGGGCTCCTGCAGGCACATGCACTCCCCACACGGGCGAGTTGGGCTCGAGAAAGGACAGACAGTTGGCCCTGGAGAGGCACCTGGTCTGTGCCTGGCCTCCCAGTGGGTGCGAGGAGGGCACAGAGGTTGCTGCAGGTGAAATTCCAGGTGGCGCCTGGGGACTGTGGTCAGGTCTGTGTGTACCTCTCAGGTCCAGTCTGTCCTGTCCCTCCTTTGGAGGTGCTGGGTGCTTCAGAGGGGTCTGGAGGTCTCTTAACCAGGATGGGGGGCTTGAGGGCAGGCAGGCAGGCCTGTGAGTGCAACTGGAGTGGAGCTGGTGGTGTCACCTGCTGGGGGCCTCCTAGCCTTGGCCCAAGTTCTTTCTAAATTTGCTTCTCAATCCCAAAGGGACCCCTGGGGTCTTTTCCCCATCCTGTCCTGGGGCTCTGGGCTTGGAGGAGGACAAGTGATGTTAGAAGAGGAGGGGAGAGGATGCCCAGCTGGCCCCACATGCTCCACACCCCACCTTGTTGACAGGCAGCCCTTCTGTGTGAGGGGCAGAGGGACAAAACGCGGGCGAGGATAGGAAGGGTGCTTGGCCCAGGTGCCCTGGACGGAGCCAAGAAACCTTGAGAGCTGCAAACCCGGGAGAAGAGGTGGCCTGCTGACCAGGGGATCCGGGGAGCCTGCCGGCCCCTCCCGGCCTGTCCAGCCCAAGCCCCGCCCCGCCGCGCCCCTTGACTCACTTCCTTTGCATAGAAACGGAAACCTCCCAGAGCTTCCTTTGCCCCAGAAGCTCCCTGGGGAGGTGCAGGTGTCACTGCCCCCCAGGCCAGAGCTGGCCCAGGAGGCGCCTGACCCCACCCCCAGGGAGACTGCCTCTGCTGAGCATCAGATCCCAGTCCACCGGGAACCCAGAGCTGGGGGCGTCTGGTGGAGCTGCAGGTAGGGATCAGGCGCCGGTCAGAAGCTTGACTCCTTCCACCCCGCCCACCCTGCCTGGGGCTCTCCTTCGCTTCCCGCTTGGTGCTGACCGAGGGGTGCTGGGAACAGGGCCCCGCGCAGCCTCAGAACTGTTTCACTCGGGCCATACTCGTCCACACTCGCGTGTCCTTGAGTGTGTCTGGGTGGGTCTCTGAACTCCCGCAAGTGCTGGGTTGCTGTTCCCAGGCCCCTCCCTGGGTCGTGCAGGCTAGCACGGCAGTGGGGAGGTGGTGCAGGTGTTCTATGTGTCCAGCTTGACCCTTCACCCCTGAGCAGCCCCTTGTCGGCCACCAACTCCTCTGACTCCTCCTCCAGGAAGCTTTTTTGCCCCGTCCACTGCCCCGCGGGCCCCCCCCCCCCCGGAGCCACTTCCTCACGGCCCTTCGAGGACCCGAGAGATTTGCTTGGGGCCCCGCGAGGAATAGCTTCCTGGTCAGTGGGGCTGAGGCCGGGACCAGGCGCTGGCCACGCCCGCGGGTCTCCCGGCTGTAAGAGCGCTCCGGGAATGAGGCCCGGTCTGCCCCGTGAGGCAGCCTGGAGACCTCCGTCTTCCCGTTGCAGGGCGGGTGACTTGCATGCCCAGTGCCGCTCCCGCGCCATGGACCGCGGCCACCCCAGCCCCCAGCCCAGCCCGGAGCCCCCGGCCGCCACCCCCCGGGCCTCCCGCTCCTGTGTGATCGCGCCGGTGCGCGCCGCGCTCCGCCTGCGCCGCCGAGTGCGCGTCCTGCGCAAGCGCCGTCTCCTGCTGCCCAGCGCGGGGCCCGACGGCGGGGCCGCGGCGCCACAGTCAGGAGTCAACTCCGGAGCGCCGCGCGCGGGCCTGGACCAGCCCCGGTTCTTCACCTTCGAGGGCCCGGCGGAGCTGTCCTCGAGGGCGCCGCGCAAGAGGCGCCGGCGCAGCCGCGTGGTGCTTTACCCCGAGGCTTCGCGCAAGTACCGGCCGCGCGCAGAGCGGCGGAGCCGCGCCCAGCACTGCCTGCTGCTGCTCGCGGCCATCGTGGGCTTCCAGGTGCTCAACGCCATCGAAAACCTGGATGACAACGCGCAGCGCTATGACCTCGACGGGCTGGAGAAGGCGCTGGGGCGCGCTGTGTTCGGGCAGCCGGCCGCCGTGGCGCGCATCGTGGCGCTGCTGCGGGACTACCTGGCCACTCATGTGCACAACCGCCCGCTGCTCCTGGCGCTACACGGGCCCAGTGGCGTGGGCAAGAGCCACGTGGGCCGCCTGCTGGCGCGTCACTTCCGCGCGGTGCTCTCGGGCGGCGTGCCTGTGCTGCAGTACCATGTGCGGCACCACTGTCCACAGCCACGCCCGGCGCAGGAGTGCCGTGAGGAGCTGGCGCGGCGGGTGGCCGACGTAGTGGCGCGCGCTGAGGCAGAGGAGAAGACCCCGCTCGTGGTGCTGGACGAAGTGGAGCTCATGCCGCTAGCGCTGCTGGACGAGCTGCAGGGCTTCCTACAGCCTCAGCGCTCTCACCACTTCCACAATGCCATCTACGTGCTCCTTAGTAGCAACGGCGGCGCGGAGGTCACGCGCTTCGTGCTGCAGAACGCTTCTCGTGCGCTGTCCCTGCGCCCTGCGGGCGCCGGTGAAGCCGGGGCCACCGCGGCGCAGGCGGAGGAGGAGCTGAGCGCCACCCTGCAGGTGCTCCTGGCTCGCTACCACCCGCTGTGGCAGGGCGCAGCCATAGTGCCCTTCCTGCTGCTGGACAAGCAAGACGTGGTCAGCTGCTTCCGGGAGGAGATGGCTGGGGAGGGTTTCTTCCCAGAGCAGGCCCAGGCAGAGCACCTGGCGGAGCAGCTCAGCTACTATCGGGTGGCTGGCCGTGAGTTCGCCGTCACTGGCTGCAGGCAGGTGGTGGCCAAGGTGAACCTCTTGTAGTAAAGCCAGACACCAGGACACTCGTGGGCACCGGGAGGGAGGATCTGTGGGCTGGCCCGGGGCCCTGGGGCACCTAATAAAGTTTGTGGCCTGCGAGGCTGGCTCACACTGAGCTGAGGCTGCTGATGAGGTCAGCTCTGAGCCCGCACTCCCATGCCACCACCCCTCCCAGCTCTCAGCTTGTCCTGCTCATCCCAGGAGCTTCCTCACCCCCCGCTTCATGTGGCCTTCAGCGGCCTGAGTCCCAGCAAGGTCTGCTGGGTGCTCCCACAGCCCCAGAAGGGGGGCGCAAGGCTGATTTCAGAGGGGAACCAGCCTGAGGCTCCAGCTGGGAATGGACTCTGCGCTGTGCGAACGGCAGCTATGTCTCAAGCCCGGTTTGCCCTTGCACACCTGCTCAGCAGGGGCTGGGGCCCAGGTCTGGGAGCGGAGGAGCTCCTGCCAGGCAGCAGCGGTCCAGTGGTGTGGCCTGCACGTGCTGGAAGGCACTCAGGCAGGCAGTGTGAGTCCTGAGCTCCTCGCTGGCTGGGGCGTGGTGCCCGCGGGTGTCCACAACCAAGGCCCATGCGGCCCCCAGGCTCTTCGCCAGGGCCTGGCTCTGGGGCCGGCAGTGCATGCCCTCACCAGTGCCCACCTGCTCTTGGTTGGCCTCAGTGACCCAGTGCCTACAGGCAGGGGAGGAGGGCCCTGCTTGGCCATCCCTCTGGTTGCCATGGCTGCATACCCACCTGGTGCCTCTAAGCCTTCTGTGCCAGGCCTCCCCTGCCCCCAGTCTGAGTCTGGGGTGTGGTCTGCCTGCAGGAAATCCTCCCAAACTGCTCTCACAGGACGGCTAGCTGTGCCCCAAGAAGCTCCAGAGCAAGGTGTGGCTGGCCCTGGGTCTCCATGGGCCTTGGGCCGCGGCCTCGTTGCCTCCCCCACCTGTCCAGATCTGCACAACCGAGGAGGGAGGAGCCTGGGCTCTGGTCCTGCGGCAGTGCCCCCGCCCCCTGTCCACACCGGCAGGCCAGGTCGGGAGGATCCACGCTTGGCGGGTGGGGACAGTCCTAAGGGGGCTGAAGAAGGGCCTCGCGTTGCGTTGGGGGGTTCCAGAGAAGGCAGTCCAGGCTTCACCTTCCAGACGCCTGAGCGCACCCTGGCTTCTGCCCACGTGCCCGGCGTCCTCCCCAGAAGGTGGTCTCTGGGATCTCTGGCAGGTGGGAGGACGCACCCGGCCCAGCCCAGCCCAGCCGGTCCTGGCCCAGGACAGGGCATGCATGCAGGCATGGCCTCCCTCCTGGGGCTCCCTGGGACTAGGTGTGCCCCCACAGCTGTCAGCTGCCATCTGGACCCCGCCTGCTGTGTCCAAACCTGCCGAGGAGTCCACTCTTGCCACTTTAGTTCTGACACGTGACACGGAGGCCCACGTCCTGCTGAGGAACG